AATGTAGTGCGATCTTTCGCCTTTGATTTCCATGGGAAAACGGCATGATTTTTTTTTTAAATAGAAATTATTTGTTTTCGAAAGATAAATTATTCTTCAATGCTCAGTTTAACACTTTTAAGGTGATAAAAGCTCATTGTCTAAAACTTACGAAACACAGACGTATTCAGAAAGAGTATTGACAGAGGTCGCCGCCAGAACAAAAGCAGTTTCATTGCCTGTCTGACATCTTATCACCGCTGAACAATAAATAGGTGTGAATATTTTTAGGCATGTTGTCGAAACAAAGAATAGGATTAGGAACAATGCCGTTTTGGAACAGCTGGTTGAAACAATGAAGTCAGTCACGGTCTTGTTGAATTGGGGGTGCGGTTAGTAATAGGTACTTTTCAAGTTTTCAATTTTTGTTAAGAACTCTTTAACCCCGAAGCTGGAATTGGGGGTGCGGTTACTATTACGTATGCGGTTTATATTAGGACTTTAACGGTAATAATTATTACTACTGTGGACTATATGTGGACTATGTAATACTTACTTAACAGGCTTCCCTAGAATGTGCTTGTAAAAAGATCTTGAGAAATAACATTCCAGCAGCTTGTTGTCGAAAGCAGCTTTAGCAATCACACGCCCTACAAACTTGAAGTAGCTAAGATGATTTGGATTACAGTGTGATGATGGATTGGGTATGTAGGTAACACGATCTCCAGGGGATATCATAAATAAGGCATACATTGGGTTGAAAATTTCCCTACAAAACAAAAATAATAGTTTGCATGAGACATACAGAGAGGTAATCATTAAAAGAAATAAAACCAGACAATCAACATTGTATAATTCGGGCAAAAAAAAGAAAAGAAAGGTTCCCAAAATCCCTTTGATGCAAGTGCACATTTTTTATTTAAATAGAATGCAATTGAAGTAAATATTGTAATTTTTTTTTTTATGGAAAGTGCATATTACTTCCGAGTTTTCTCAAAAAGTCTGTCATGACATGTAAAAAAACTACACATTCTTACTGACATATACGGTACATGTACAATGACCAGAAACATGATTATACAGCCTACCCTAAACTGTGGGGTTTTCTCCAAGTAGTAATGGCAGCAATTAATTCTTATGCATTCAAGTTAATGTGAAAGTACATGTCATGTTTAGGGTTAATGTAATATAAGGATCATATACACCTGTAAGCTGGATTTATTTTTTATTTCAAAATTATCTCTGTACTTTATGTAGTACCAAATTAGAAAACAAAATAGCCTCCAGAAATGATAGTTCCCCTGCATATGTTTCTGGATATAGCACAGTAGTGGACATCTTACAGTGAAAACCCCAAGATTTTGTCATTGTTAAGTTCAGAACAACTTATTACCTACTTTTTTCAAAATCTGCAGACTACATTCTAGACATAATTACATTTATGTGCGTAAATATGTCAGGACTGTACACCAAACATATTGGTTATCAACAATAATTTGAAACAAAGTAGATAATCACTCAGAGCACTCTCAATGCCACAATGGGACCACATGTAGGTAGGGTTAGGATTGGACTAGCAATGCAGGATACAATTTACACATCACTAGAACAGTATGACCATCAGGCCAGCCTGCATCACGCATACCAAATTTCAAATGACGAGTGTTGAATTTAAATTTGAGAGAACAGAAGAGAGCACAGTTTTCACAACTTTTAAACATGTGCAATTCACATTTGGTTTCACAGCTTCAGAATACAAGTAGCTAGAAATAAATAGTTTAAAATAATAAACTGCTAGCTGTGTAAGTGGTGAATGCATAGCCAAGACATCCTTGGAATGTACTATACTCACTTTGAAATAATGAGATACCATTCTCTCAAAAGACCACCAGCATCTTGACCTTCTTCACCTTCAAAGACAACGTAGAATCTATTCTTCCATTCATCCGCTGATCTCCTATGAAGTTCTCGAAATGAGTCTTCAAATATGTTGTCTCTCTTCAGATGAATTGCTAAGTCCTCTCTTCTCATACCATCATCCATGCGTTCCAGTTCCTGCCTGAAGTAACGTCTCTTAACATCAAAGTCTAGTACTCGTGTGTAATCCACTAAGACAGAGAATGGACCATCTCCCAATGGTGTGGTAGACTGTCGGAGGATCTGATTTAAAACTATGCGATGTGTTTCTACAAAGAAAAATTTGAACCATACTCAACTAAGTCCTTATCGATAATTTAGTGTCTTTGTTACCATGACGGGCTGCAATGATTTATCATCAGACCAAGTTTAAACTGAAATCAGCTAAGTCATCTCAGAGAACCAGTTATGAACATGCCTATTTTACATCAAAAACGGCAGCAAGTTGGCAATATTAAAACAAAACTGATTTACAGGCACAAGTATGACAATTATGCATGGTCTTAGTAGCAAAAATGGCTCTGGATGCAGATGCAGATTCACAATTAATAATCTTTTCATTCAAACAAGCAGCCTCTCGGCTGAGATAGCTCCGCTGTTAGCAATGCAAATTTCAATTAAAGAACAGAAGATATCATTAGAAAATGAACAATATGTATAGTATCAAAACAATCAGACTTGCGGTTTTCAACAAGAAGTGGAAAATATCACTTTTTACCAAAAATTACAAAAATGTTCATCAAAATTAGAGAATTGAAGATATCATCATGAAATGAACAAATCTGAGTTAGAAGCACACGTAATACCTATATATGTAATATCAAAGCAATTGGACTTGCGGTTTTCAACAAGAAGTTGAAAATATCACTTTTTTACCAAAAATGACAAAAATATTCACGAAAACTAGAGAATTAAAGATATCATTACAAAAATGAACAAATCTGAGAGAGGTCCACATGTAGTACCTATATATGTAATATCAAAGCATTTGGACTTGCGGTTTTCAACAAGAAGTCGAAAATATCATTTTTTACCAAAAATGACAAAAATATTCATGAAAATTAGAGAATTAAAGATATCATCATAAAATGAACAAATCTAAGGGAGGTCTACCCAAGGTACATATACACCAAGTATCAAAGCATTCAGGCTTGTAGTTTTCATGAAGAAATCGAAAAAGTAAAACATTGACACGAACGACGACGGACGGACAATCACTCATATGATAAGCTCCGCTCGACAAAGTCAACAGCGGAGCTAAAAAACAGAAACATACATACAAATCACATCAAGTGCCTTTTAAAGCATGTCAATTTTCTCTTTTACCAGGTGACAAAAGCAGGTCACAATGTTGAAAACAAAACCATTCTCTAACAGACTATTATTGCATTTGTATCAACAACAAATTCAACATAATAAAGTGTGAAAGATATAGTTACCAGCAAACACAAGGAACTTCAGAGTATCTGGAGGTAAATTTTGTGCTACAAGTGACGCAATTGAATTCTCGCGGGAGAATGGACTTGATGGTGCCCCTGTTACTCCCGGGGTATTTGGAGCAGGTGATAATGGACCTGATTCAAGAGATGATAAACTATATGATGCTTCACGACTCATTAGCCTTTGCAATTCCCCAGGTTTATTAGAATCTTTATCTGTAGCATGGACAAGAAAGAAGGCTTCCACAGCAGTTTGAAGAACCAGAACAGCATGGTGGTCTGTTGTTTCTTTTAATTCTACTAAACATTCACTTAATGTATCCCAAAGTTCATCTAAGGCTAGTTCAGCACTAAGCCTTGGCAAATTGTCTGGTGCCTGAAAACAACAACATATCAATTTTGAGTTCACAAAAATTTCAAATCTAGGGCTACACAGTATTACAATATTTTTTAAGAAAAGAACTTTTCAGCCTATAGCCTTGTATCATTGATTTTAATCATTTTGTCAGGTTCATCAATATAAAATGTTGCATTCTGGTAAAGATAGTGGCTGAGGAATATGTCACAGAGTGGTTTATTCTCAATCCTATGTTCTTTGAATATAGATTTTTATACTGTACAGTTATATATTTTAAAGAAATATGATTTACTGTATACACTGACAACCATTAGCTAATTAAAATGGGATACATAGCCAAAATTTGTTCAATATTACCAATATATACAATACATATCTGCTGTTTTGGAAAAAAATCAGAACTATGATTGAGGAGTAAATTAGGTAAATTTGAACCCCCCCCCCTTCCAATTCTAAATATATTGAAATGAAATTTATGAGTTAAACTTCAAAAAATTTATAGCACATTAATGTACTGATTTACCATGCATAGTAAAACCTAAGTCATTGCAATTTACAATATTTTTACAACAAATCTTAATATATTTATTTTGTCATCAAAAATTCAAAATTCTTGGAAGAAACAGCATAAATGTTGTACAAAACAATCTGTGCGATTTACCTCTTTCTTATCTTCCTCTGCTGGCTTTTCCTTTGATGTACTTTCCTTAGATTCAACTGTTCCTTGTCCTTCTTCTACTTCCATTGGAGCTTCCACATTCTCTAGGTTATTTGCCAACTAAAAAAAAGAAAACAGAAACCTATACAACCATTCAAAGCTGGTAATGTAACCATGGTCTTTTACAATTAATTTGGTTGAAATGTTTGAAATGACTTGAGATGAGTGTGCCATCTAAGCGGATATGACTGACGCATAAAATCATACATTGATACAGTGATCTTGAAAAAACATTTTGTTAATGTTATAGAATTTGTAATAGGGAATTCACATTTATAAACAAAACAAGTGTTAAAGAAAGGAAATCAAGTGTCACAACAGTTTATGTCTTCAAACGCTCTACAACCACAAACAATTAAGGTGACCAAACTTAAATTTTTGGAATTCCATTGTGACTCAAAAACCCTACATAATCAGTCCTGTTACCCTCACACGGCTTGCACAAGAAGTGAGTGTTATCAATAACATTGAGAATTCTTACTACAGTTGGTGTAGGTGCTGCTGAGGTAGCTGCTGGTGTTTCTGTTGATGGTTCAGTACTATTCTGCTGTTCTTGTCCACCTTGAGCTTGTGATGTAGATGGTTCAGCTGAAATGAAGAATTAGCATGTTGAAAGCAATTTTGTCACAGACTACATCCATCTAAAGCACTGAACTATTTATACAACAAACTAGAGTAGCCTTGTTTAGCACCAAACTACATTTTTTACGAAAAGAGTTAAAAACAAGCATTACCTGCAGCAGCAAGGTCACGTTCTTCCCTTGCCCTCTCTCTCGCTTCTTTTGCCTGTCTTTCTCTGGTCTCCTTCATTCTTTTGGCAGTTCGTAGTTCAATTATCACGCGCAATATCCTGAGGAAGAAAAGCTGGGTGGATGTTTTACTAGTGAACAGTGACATAGAAGGTAATCGAAGTTCATATCCTCCTTTACGATGGCTTGGTGCTGTCACTACAAGACGTTGTCCTCTGTTAAACCTATCCCCAATAAGTCCACCATGAGCAATTCCTGTTGAAAGGGAAGAGTCATCATTTCCTTCAGACTCCAACGCAGCATTAGTTTTTGTGTTATGATCTCTAAGCTCTTTCAGAAGTATCTTAATATCTCTGGAAAATGAAATGAATATCAATTTAGTTTCATTACACTATGAACATTTGTATTTCATTCATTATCAGACTCAATTTAACCACACTCAAAATTCATTCAAAGTGTATAATTACTAGTCAATAACAGACTTACTTGCATAGTGTAAAACCAAGTTGTCTGGCACCAACCAGTAGTAAAGTTAAGACAGAGTCTCTAGTTTTATCATGTTTAGATAGCTGCAATAATAAACTAGTGGCATCTTCTAAACCTTCTTCTGTGCAGGAATGAGATGTTAAAACCTGTGACAGAATCAACAGTAATGTTCTTGTAATACAAATATCCACCAAATAAGCAAGTATTTTCATCCATAGTTCCAGTGTCTATTATCATTGAAGTAAATCCAGCAACTGAGAGCCCAAAGGGGATAATATTATGACACAATTTAATATCAGATGTAGTGTCATATTGTTCCATAATCTATTTTTAATACATCATATTACTATTAAACTCCTTTGTTATAGGGTTGATCAAAAGACATTCAAGCACTAATAGTTGCAGTACATGTAAAGTTACATTATAAGATGACAATACTTAATTGATGCAAACTGTTTATAAACATCAAAATGAAAAATTTCTTCAAGCTCTACCCTACCTAACCTGAACACTAACCGTGGCACTCCAACCCCAAATGTATTGTATGTCTTTCCAAATAACTATACATGTTCTGAAGAGGATAGTTTGAGGGGCATATAAAATTTAAATGAAGGAGGGGCACTTGACGGGCAGGGCAATCAATTCGGCAACATAATGGTATCAATGCAAAGTTACACACTGAAGATTTTAATCAACCCTAACACTTATCAGCTACTAATAGATCAATCAGAGAACTGCCATAATGCAATCAATGTGCAATATACTGTGTGTAAAAACAAGAATGGAACAGCACTGGTTGTAACAAACTTTGCAAAACAGGAATAAGGTTAACAACTCACATCAACAGCCAGTTGTAAATTGTCAGCAGAAATAAGCGGCTCATCTGGTTCTTCCTCTTCTTTCTTATCTTCTTTTTTATTTTCTGTTTTGGGAGAGTCATTTGTTCCTACAAGTATATATTTTTACGGAATGTTTTAACAATTTTGGTAAATTTGTGAGAGGTTATAATCTCACTTGAAACTCTTGAATTTAAATTATCGATTCGTATCACTAACACCAAAAACAATATTTCTAGAATTGATGAAATAGCATTATATAAAACACAAATTAAATTAATAGTTTTAATCTGTTAATAAATTTTGTAAAATTAGCATTCAAAAATTCACAGAGAAAGTTCACACTAATAGAATTTTCAAACTATTTTGTTATGAAAGTATATAATTCACAATAAATACTTTATTGAAGATTCAACTGAGTACTGTGTAGAAATTAAAAAGAATACCACATTTTTTTCCTTAAAAAATGTAGAATAAACCTTGAGAGTATAGCAGTCACACATTTTGGATTTTCACCGGAATATGGTTTTTTACATTCAGATAGTGTATTTAACAAGAATCGCTTCATGAGGTATTGTTCTACAAACTCTGAAAAAGTTAAAAATCTGGGTACCAACTGATTGTCAGAATTAAAACCAAAATTTAAAATTCGCATAATAGATGAGATGCTGCATTGATTTTTTATATGGTTATGAAATCTTCTGTGACTAATTTGACATCAAGTAATTTGTAGATTGGGTAAGCATCTTAAGATGTTATTATACACTTGACTGTGTGATTTATTAATTATTTAAAATGCATGCACATTTAGTCATGACAATGCAGGTTGTTAATTTTGATCACTCTTTAGTATGATCAATTTATGACGAAGTTTTGAATAGTAATTAGATACCACTATAGATTCTATAAATTATAAAAAGTTTATTTTGATTAACATGTGCTCAAAAAACTACTACATCCCTAAGTCATACACAGACATATATTACCTTGGGCTTCCATCGATTCAACAGAACTTGTACCACTTGCCATTTCACTATCTTGACTATGGTTGGCAGTAGCAGTAGGTGTCTCAGATGTTAAAGTAGTATCTCTGGCAGGTGTACCCTAGAAAAACAAGTTATTGACATTAAAGTGCAATTTGTGCAATGAACTTAACATGCATGAAAATAGATTTGATCTAGTATGATTTCAAAACTGCTTGATTTTGATGCCTTTTTAGCTATAAAATGACCACTATTTGAATTCTAACACTAGACGGATACATGAAGTATGTGTGAAGTAGAACTTGATTGGTCTAGCCTTGACATTTGCACATACATACAAAGGTGAAATTTTTGGTTTTAAAAAATGTACACAAATGACCGAGATTAGTCTATGATAAGTCGTATTTTAATGATCTAGCATAAAATTATTTCAATTTCAGGTTATGTGTACTTCTATTTCCAATGTTCTTCTAATAAAGGTCAATCGACAAGTCCCTGTTTTCAGAATAACAGGAACTGAAAAACACATTTCTAGACTTACAGGTAAATTTAGCACAGATTCTTCCACACTTAGTTTGGTTTTCTGTATTTCTGGCAGTGCTATAGAAATAAGTGACAGTAACCGAAGAAGTCTATCTGTCAGCTGTGCACTACGCCTCACTACAGGATGGGAAAGCTGTACCATTAAATGGCTAATAGGGGCTTCATGGGTGGCAGCCACATTCTCTTTGTCCATGGCACTATTCAGATGCGATTTCAATGCTCCTTTCCCTTTCTTTCCTATACTTGTATTATCCAGCTTGACAAGAAGTTCCCAAAAATCAGATTCCTGCTTAGAAGTTAGTTTTGTTGTACCTGAAGCAGACGCGTTGCTAACTTGACTAGATGGCTTAGTGCCTGGTTTCATTCCTTCATTAGACTTGTCCTCCAAGGAGCAACTTTGGCTTTCCTTGGCTTTCAATGGCACAAACTGGCTTGGAAAAATTTTTGCTAGAGAAATAAGAGTTTCTAAGACATGCCGACACACTACAGGAGCAGCCTGTGGATGAATTTGTATGACTGTATGGCTCTTCTCACTGGCTTTCTTACCACATACGCTTCGCTGAATCTGGAAGACATTTGTACGACAACCAAGTGCAGCATCCATGCTCACAGACAACCACGATGGCTGGTTTGATTTAAACGAATCTGTCCTTTGCATAGGAGAAGTTGAAGGTAGAACTTCTACAACTTCACTGGTCTGACTACTTGGAGACGCACATGGCTCACAGGAATGGGTCCTTTCTAAAATCCCTAACAGAGATTGTATAACCCAGACTCGGGTTTGTTGATGGTAACATAAATTACGTAAAACACGATGTAATCGTCCAGTACTCAGTTTTGGCTCGTCAACAAAAAGTAAAACTAGTAAACAAGTTAAAGCTTCAGCATCAACAAGCTGACGTCCACGAAATTTTGCTATTGGTCCAGCACTTCCGGCTTGGGCATTGCGACCAACATTACCCCATGCCCAATTACTTCCTCTGGACTGTGGGATGGATACTCGAGCATAAGTCACACCTCTGCCACCAACTCTTCCTGGGAAACCTAGAAAACAAATAAAATTATGATAAAGATAAATTTAAAATAGCCAATTCAATTCAGTACAATTTGATTCCAACTAATTTGATTTTAATGCTGGAAAAATGTAGCATAAAAAGTCTCAGTGGGCAATGTGGAAATGACAAAAGCATAGTCACTGGAGGTCAAAGTGCATGTGTGCTTTGCCTGATATCACAGGGGAGCCAAGTAATAAAATTAAAACAATATGTACATACATTACTGCCCGGGAGGCAATCTGATGACTGGAAAACGGAGAGTAATGAGAGTAAAACTGAAGCTATAACTTACCTGAACGGAATAAAGCTGACAAAACACTATTTTCATGCAGAAGTCGTTCCTGTGTGCGTCTCAGCTGCATTTCTCTTCTAAGAGCCTGTGCTTCAGCAGCCATATCAGCTGGTAATAATGCAACATTGCTATCATCCATATCCTGCAAAACAGTCTGCCTCAAAGATGCTGGCAAATTCTGAATAAATAAAGCTGGGTCAATGGGTTCTTGAGATGATGGACCAGCTTGTTGTGATAGAAGACGTTGTTGCTCAGCCCTTTCTTGCTGCAATACCTAAAATAATTGAAGTGAAGGGGTTTTATAAAACTTGACATATTTAATATTTTAGGAATGAACCTGTATTTTAGATTATAAAACACGGGGCTAATTATCCCAAATTGTTGATTCTCCTGTCATTAAAAACTAATGGGAGTGAATGTCCTCATAACTCGTTACTTGACGCCATTTTATACCATTCATATCAGCTATCCATAGAGGCTTTTAGCAGGCGATATGTTCACCCCATCTCCAAACCCCTTCCCAAATTTAATCTGTGCCTACTGGTGAGAAGAAAAAACTCACCTCTTCTTGTATGTGAGGTGGTAACGCAGCCAAAAACTCTGGATTGACCTGTGTAAGGGATGACGATTCACTTGTACCACTAGCAGTAGCACTAGCAGTAGCAGTAGCACTAGCACTGGCACTAGCACTATTATTAGCAGGGGTAGTTGTTTGAGGTGTAGGTGGTGGTGCAGCAGCTGGTATTCTTGGCTGTTGAATACCGAAATGTTCTTGAAGCACTTCTTGTCGAATATTTTCTGGCAATGCAGCAAGGAAAGATGGATCAACACCTTCTGGAAGTTGAATTCCTGTTATCAGGACAAAAAAAAAAAGAGGTTGACATTAGCACTGAAACAAATTTCATTTGACTTCTTGTAATATCAAGTTATATTGGTATAAGCTGCATCAATGTATAATGCAAAGCTCATTATGCTTACAGCAGTCAGTGAGATGTGCAACTTTAACAAAAGACCGTATGTCACAGTCTAAATGCCAATTTTACAACAGTAATACTACTTTTTGGCTCTTTATTAACAGTACAACCAGCTTCGACAGTGGAGATTACAGCATTTACAAGAAAAGTATTAATTTTTTAAGCAGCAACACTCTGAATTTGACCAAAACAATTTCAGATCAATGAGCTGTGTGAATGCATGGTTACTTTACAGAATGAGCTAACATGCCTCTTTGTAGTCTTGGTTCCAGTAAACATCTGAGACCCCCAACAGGTCTCTAACTATCTGTACTTTAACTATCAGTTTGTAACATCCAGGTACAGATGCACTAATCATCTGATGAGATATTACTGGAGGCTATATATTGATAGGATGAGCATTAGATAAACACAATGAAGCATGCTATCTACTGATTTAATGTGCTGGGGAAAACAAATTCTAAGCAGAATAAGAGAAATCAAAATGTCACTACTGAATGTCCAAGGTAGATCACAGAATGCTTATTAAATATTGTAATTATTTATTAGTTATAATTATAAGTTACTGCAAATTTGAGCAGTAAAACAATGATAAGTAACATTCCCAGGAAATGAGACCTGTGTGTTACTTTACTGGGTGATACAAGACATTATTTATGATGTATGCATTGTGTACCAGTTTAAGAA